TTCCCAAAAGTTGTTCTCATCCTGGGTGGACTGCAGTTTCGACCTCGCATTGGTCTTATCAACACCGTCACGGTTCGACTCCCGCTGGGGGTGTTGATAAGACCAGTGCGAGGTCGAAACTGCAGTCCACCCAGGATGAGAACAACTTTTGGGAAAGCAAGGCAATGTGAAATTCAATGGAAATGTCAGCTCTACTCATATCATTGTGGGAAAATTCTACTACCAGTCCTTCATCACCTTAAACGAAATAGTGTGAATACATCTTATATTACTGATTTACTGGTAGTATCGAAACTCTACTCAAACACGAAAAATGAGCAGGTTTAAAGTTTATATAATCGGGAATCCAGAATTGTGGATTGGAAGAAAAAATCAGTAACCGTTATTCGGAAAAACGGTAATTGGGGATAAGGAATTAAGATTTAAGATTATGAAAAAAAGATCGTTAATTAAATGTAAGGAATCGGAAATCATAACTCAGGAATAATATATCTGAAACTAGAAAGTAAGAGTCAGAAACAGGGAAGTAATGCTCTGGAATCTGGAGTTAGCAAAAAATAATCGGGAATTGCCACTAAGGAATTGGAAATAGGGTATGAAGAATCGAGAATAGGAATTCTAGGAGAAGAAATCACGAGTTGATAATCGAGAAGCAAGAAGCAAGAATTAAGGGTAAAATATTTGGAATATTAGATCTGAAATCTGAAAAAGAGTTTCTCTAACGGAAAATCAGGGGACTGGAATCTGGAATATAGAGTCAAAAATGTAGAATCGGCTGGCTATATTTGGCTAACGGAAAAACGAACAATAAGGATCTAAAAATAGGTATCGTTTGTAAGGAAATTGGAGTCGGGTGTTGAGAATCAAGATTCGAATCGAAAGTACATAAATCGGAATCTGAAGACAACAATCTATAATAGTGATTTAGAGATTAGCAATATAGAGAAAAGAAACAATCAGAAGTTTGTAATCAAGTTGCAGCAAGAATTGAGAATTAGAAATCAGAAATAAACAATCGTGAAATAGGATTAGGTAGGTGTTGAGAATCCGGAGTTGGACATCAAAAAATATAGAATATAATCGTAATTCTGTAGCTTGAGACCAGTAACCAGGAATAGTCATTAAGTAATCGTAATGTTGATTCAAAGTGTCAGGAAACAGGGCTAGGAAACGAGAATCGGGAGCTAAAACATTCAAGTGATATATTTAAGGTGCCCAGCTTGGTTTGCTATTCGATTCCATTGTTCTGAGGCGATCGACAGTCGTTATCAATTAAGATTACATTTTCAGTCCATTTTATTACAGCAAGTATAAGGCTGGAGTAAAAGCCGCAGTTTCCCTGGGTTGTGCAAGATTATGAAGTAATGAGTGTGGAATTTTCCCACAATGCTATTAATAGGTCACCAAGAAATTGCATTTATTCTCATCCAGGGTTAAATGCAGTTTTTACGTCGTCTGGGTTTCATCAATTCCCTTGATGAGTTAGCCTTTTGTGAGGCAGGGCCAAGTGAAATGCGGCCCAGGGTAAATAGTCTTTTTATTCCAGATCTGCTGATTGTGAATATATAAAGGTAGAGTCACCCTTAGCGAAATATTCAAAAATACAGAAATTGTATGTACTCCGAGTTCTGTTAGGAGCCAGTTAAACAATGATCTTATACGATTTTAAGTCGTCTTCCCCATAAATGGCCGCTAAGGGCACATGGGTCGAGCAGGTAATTGCAAACCCGACTCTC